GCGGGGCGCGGGGCGCGGTCGCACCACGTGGTCCCGGCGGCCCGACTGCTGGGGCGGCGCCTCCGCCGCTGATCTCGTCGCGCGGGGCCGCGGTGACAGTGGGCGTCTCGGCGCGGGATTTTTTAACGAGGTGTGATCAAAATATACGGTGAGTCTTTCTTAATGGCTGTAGTGAAAGGGGCGTGGCCAGGAACCGCTCAAACCCTCCCTCGCTTCGAACTGGCCCTCTCCGCGCGTCTCTGGAGGTGTCCAGGAATACGCCAGGCGCTGCCGCCCTCGCCGTTCACCAGGAGGCAGCTCCTAAAAACAGGACGCTGCGACCTCATCCACCGTGTTCTCCGGATCTGCTGCCCTGCGACTCTGGCTCCTCCCGAGTGAGTGACCACGGAAGGGAAACATCCATTCAGGACCTGGAGGCGGCCGGGACAGCGCAGCCGATGATGCTCCGGAAAGAGGACTCCGGGGTTGCTGCACCAAGTGCGGAAGACCGTGGGAAGAGTGTTCAGAGCCAGGGGAGGATCGGGAGCGGGGTTCATGGCAATGTGTCTTACTGCCAGTCACTTTAAAAGGTAAACATTCGCCAGGTTTTTCCATCACCCGTGTCTTGCAGCCGCAGCGGAGACGAAGCCCCAGGGCCTGGCCTGAGCGGTCAGCCACGCCTCGGGGTCAGTTGACAGAGGAGCTCCGGGGGCCTGGAGACCGGGAGAGCGCGCCTCACCTGGGGGAGCCTCCTCCGGTCCTTCCCGGACCTCGGCCGAGGCGGCTGCAGTTGGGAGGGGGGGAATGCCATCAGCGCAAGGCCAAAGCGATGCCCGAATATGACGACGTTTCCTTCTCTGGCAAGGATGACTCCAGCTACATTTGAACACAGCAAATAAAAACTTCACCACATCACCACTTTCCTACACAAGGTTATTTTTTAACTTGATAGTTACAGTGACGTCTCTTGTTTTTCCCGGGGACTCTGCAGGATCCATAAATAACGACTCCACTACTTTTCACCAGAGGTATAAATATCGAGTTATCTCATCCCAGCTGTTCCCAAGAATTTTATAACAGGATCCAGGCTGAGATTTGCAAGCGTTGGGAATTGTTTTGTTGTGGTGGTAGGGATGGGCAAAGTGAGGAGAGAGGACCAGTGGGAGGAAAGTCGAGAACAGCAGCAGGGGACAGAGTTTAGTAGTGGGGGCGAGAAGCCCGGTGACTGGTTTTGCGATCAGAGACCGTGTAGCAGACATCCGGGGCCGTAGGCTGCCTGCCAGCTCCTGGAGGTGCAGGGCCATCCGTGCTCACTGTATTTCCTTAACATCCCAGCAGGAGCCCCTACCCTCACCTTCTTTCCTAGATGTCCTCCCATGAGCCTAAAAAACACACTCCTGCCCCTTTCGTGCTTCCTAGACCTCGGAGTGAGCCAGGAGCATGTACTGTAATCGCAGTTTAGGGGAACCCCAGGGCCATTATAATGTCATTAGCATTGTGGCTGGGCTTTGGTCCACTCGCTGGTTCCATCTGGACCCTCCGAAAATCAAAACCTGCCCCTCTGGACATGAGGGCGGAGACTCTCGATTGTATTGCGTCCAGTCAGTTACCACTCTCAAACACTCCCCAGATTCTAAGAAGAGAAGAAAAGCCAACTGAGCAACTCGCTGGACTTGCCACTCTGGTTGTGGTGGCCCTGTTCTTGAGGGAGGACTTTCATTGCTGACAGGTGCCACCAGCTTGGAACTCTCCCAAGTGCACTTTAACCTCAACCTTGAGACAGGACGGCCTGTGCCTGCACCGGGTCAGTGAGTTTCCTCATCAACTCCCTCCCGCTCAGTGCAGCGCATATGCACCCACTCACTTAAACAGGCTTTCTGTGAGGAAAAGAAAAGTTTGTTCCATTGAATGGGGACTAAAATCAGGAATAGACTTTAGCAGCTAACTGAGAAAAGCAGGGTTTATTACATCCGTGTGTGGATGAGCTGACTTTGGGAGAGAGAGAGAGCAGCAGCTAGCTAGGAGAGATTTCATCTGTGTGTGCATGGGCTGACACCAGGAGAGAGAAATCAACAGCTAACTGGGAGGAATTAGGCTTATACAAGTATTGAAGGGGCTGAGGGATCTGGGGTGAATGTTTGTGATTGAGTCGAAGGACAGTCTGCACAGGTGTGTAGATAATCACTGGCACTGGGGAGGTTGTCCTGTTTACTGAGAAACAGCCTGTTCTCTGCTGAGAGCAGCCTGTTTGCTTGGCCGTGAGGACCTCACAGAAGTGGGACATGGCATACACTTTTCCTTTAATACATCTCTGCCTTTCTTACTACTTCTCTGTGTCCTGCTGCATTCTTTGTTCAGGATACAAAACCCCTAAGATCAGGGGATACTGAGACACCTGTCCTTTGGGTAACAGTTTGACTGCTGGGGTTGACAGTCTGGTTGTACTATTATTGCAGATAGGTAAGTTAATTAGATATTTTGTAGGCAGTTAGACAGGGCCAGCCCACAAGGAGCCAACATGGAGGACAGTGAAGACACATTCACTGAAGGCCAGCATTGTAAAAGAAAAGAAACTACCACAACCGCATAGGATGAATAATGGTTGATGTTCTAAATAGGTACCAGTCACCTGGGTAGAGGCCAAGGTTTTAACCCAGGCTTTCCAGGAAAGATCCCCGACCCAGCCCTTACCACCGAAAATCCTCGCTCATTCCTTGTACGCTTATGTGACTTGTTTCTCCATTGGATCCCCATTTAATCAGTATTACCTAAGTGACTATACTTATCATAACCTTACTGGTTGTTCATAGTTTTGTCCACCTTATGAGTTCTCATGGGATCAGTATTACTTTAGCAACTGTACTCGCAACCTTACTAGTTGACTTTAGTTTTGTCCCACCTTGAACCCACCTCACCTCGTGGCTTTGTCCCATAAAACACCTTTGAGAAGTTGGGTGACCCGGCAGCCTGCTTTCTGGTCCCCCTTCTGTCTCTTTTAGAGCTATCTCTCAATAAGTTCTTCCTATTCTTAACCTCCGTTGCTCCTAGAATTTATTCTTTGATTTTAGAGAACACGAACTCGAGTTTTGGATATTTAGCAGGTTTGGGAGTTAAATCTATTCCCCCTATATCACCATCTGTTTCGAGGTTTAGAGAAAGGATGAAAGAGAACTTATGAAATTGATATGGGGCACCAAGTAATCCAAATAAGGGAAATAATCCAAATAATGTAAGGGAAATATTATACTTCCCAACCTGCTAGATATCTGAAATGGTAGTTCATGTTCTCTAAAATTTTTTAAAAAATGAATTCTAAGAACAATGGAGATTAAGAGTAAGGGAATATTTATTGAGGGAAAGATAGCTCCTGCCTGAGAGGGAGAGAAGGAGACACCCAGAAAGTGGGTTGCTCACCCACTCCACTTCCCAAAGGTGTTTTATTGAGCAAAGCTACAAGGTGAAGTGGGTACAAGGTAGAACAAAACTACAGTCAACTAATTAGATCCAGTTGAAAATTACTAAGTGGGCATAAGGTGGGACAAAACCATGATCACCCAGTAAGGTTACAAGTACAGTTGCCCAGGTAATATTGACTAAACGGAAATCAAATGGGAAAACAAGTCACATAGCAAGCATACACAGAATGAACAAGAAATTTCCAGAAAGGAAATGGACTAGGGAGATTTTGGTCCTCACTTAGTGATTGGTGCCTATTGCGAATATCAATCACTGCTATTCATCTCTAGGGGAAGTATGTGGGTGTAGCAGTGTCTCTCTTTTTATAATGCTGAGCTTTAGTGAAGACCATCTTTGGTATGGACTCCCTAGTGCCACCCTATCTAACTGCCTACAAAATATCTAATTAACTTAGCTGTCTACATAAAAATGAGGGAGCAAAGACAGATTTTTTTGAGACATGTTAATACTGAAAGCAGAAAAATGAGACGAGCTGTGAATGTATGTTGTGTCCAGCAGTGGACAGCTCACCACAATTGTCATGCCACGCCACTGCTCTGCTGGAAATCTGCTCCCTGTGATCCTAAACCCAGCACCAGTAAAAACTGGAGAAAAAACCACAAAGTTTAATGTACCAAAAGATGATTTACTTGGGGGAAAAGAAAGGATAGACAGCTGTCATGAGGTGATGGGGCTTCAGGGCCGAGAGCCCATGAGCTCTTATCTCTGGCTCCTTTTCTTGGGGACCAGTTACTTTCCCATCCTCCAGGTGAACATGTGTCCACGTCTGATCTGTTCTCTTGACTCTTTGATCCCAGGTCTGCCTGCCTACACTCCTTCTGGCCATTTGGTTTCTTCCTGTCCCTTTGTAATGAATAAGTGAAGGAGGAGGGCCTATTAAGAAGGCAGTTTACTTAATGATTAAATAAAGGGACACGTGTGCATGTGTGTATCTGGTGCAATACTATACTGATGTTAAAATGAGAACATGTATATATGTGTAGGTGTGTGTGTGTGTGTGTGTGTGCGCGCGCGCGCACTTGCCTTACATATTAAACAGGACTTCTCAGGAATTGCATTTTGTCAGGTGAATGAGGGGAGTTGGCTTTCCTGGTCTTTCATTTCTGACTTCCTCGGTGTTAACTTTTCTTGATAAATTCTTATGGTAATTGTGTTACCTGGCTTCCCTCTCAGTCTAATTTTTCTTTCCCTCCTTTGTCTAATTGTCCTAACTGCAAAGTGTACCTATTATAGCAGGAACAACACATGAAAGAACTGAGTGCCACTCAGAGAGGTGGAGGGTAACCGAGGTTTATTATGCCAGCAGGCCCAGTGGAGTTTGTGACTCCAAATTCTGAGCCCTGAGCAGGAGTTATGCAATTCCTTTTATACCGAAGTTACAGAAGCAGAACAAAGGCAAAGCAGTGATAGTTTGCAGCTTAGCAAATCTGGGTGACCTTGGTCGAGTGAAGAAAAAAATAGGCTCCCATAGAAACAGGATGTGGCAAAACCATTATCTATAGGAACAGATTTGTCAGGGCAAAGAACAGGAGCCACAGGGAGGAGAAAGATCAAAGGGGAAGGTGACGGAGAGCAGTAGTTATGGCCTTTAGAGTTTTGTCTAACACTTAAGACTTAGGTTTTGTTTTTATAAGTTTTGCTTTCCTCATCATACCTGTAGAGGCAGAAACTGCTTTTAGTAAGTGATGAGTTCTCTAGCAGACCAAATGGCCCCAGTGGTCCTGCATTCTAAAATGGCTCCTGTTCCTGAAATGGTTCCTGCTTATGGAAATGAGCCCCTTTGGAAAAGTGAAACCTACCCACCCCCCCGAAAAGCAAAAACTAACTTATTGCTCCATCCTGCTATGCGCATGATCCTCCCCTTCCAATCACTTGGTGTCCTATTGCTCAACTCTCACGATACTCTCCCCACTGCACCGGCCTATATAAATCTCACCCCGGTGAGTCTCGCCCTCTCTCACCATTGTTTGAGGCAGTCCAGCAGCTCCTTCCCCGATAAAGCCCTGCCTTGGGTGCTCCTGTTTCAGCTCGTTTTCTTTTTGGTTTTTTTTTTTCAGCTCATGTTCTTTCAGTAAGTTTCCCTATTGATCTTAATAAAGCTCAGGGAGGCCTTTACCCTATCTCTTCCCTACAGTTAAAACCTTGAGACAGGTGCTATGCCAGGTGTTTTATGTAAATATGTAGCATCATTTTCACACAATCCATGTTATAGATGGAAAGTGAGACACAAAGAAGATAAAATGCCCAGGGTCAAACTTAGTAGGTTGTAGATTTGGGGTTTCAACCCTGGCTTTATGTGACACAATATCATTCAATGAGCTAAACCTTTAATATAGTCAATACATCACCCCTACATGAAGAGAGAATTTAGTCAAATTTTCTGACAAGTAAAACATGTAGGTTGAGGGTGTAGCTCAGTGTTGTTGAATATGAACACAGTC